ATGGAGCGCGGCTCACGTAGCCTCCCCGACTCAGGCCGCACGTCCCCCTGCCCGCGGGACGGCGAGTGGTTCATCAAGATGCTGAGGGCGGAAGTGGAGAAGCTGGAGCACTGGTGCCAGCAGATGGAACGCGAGGCGGAGGACTATGAGCTGCCCGAGGAGAGTGAGTGAGAGGCCTCTGCGTGGAGGGATCACGGCCGGGAGCTCTCTGGTTGGACGTGAGGGTGCCGTCCTAAGGGTTTGATTCTCTAGCACCAAACCTTGGAGGGTCCCCGTTGGCAGCAGGGCGTTCCTGGAGGTCCTGGGAGGAAGCAGGGAGCAGCTTCAGAGGCCAGGGCTGGGACTGGGGAAAGTGACCGGGCCGGGCCTTCTAGGCAATAGCTGCCAGCGCATGGCAGCCAAGGGAATTCTTACCATCTGCGCCGGTGTGGGGGTCTGGGCCTGCTCCAGGACGTAAGCCAGGGGCAGGCCGTGCACAATGTCAGGATATGTCTCAGGCACCCCTGAAGATTAAGCAGGAAGACATGGTCCTTCCCTGCAAGTTCAATCCGAGGGGAGTTACAGTCTTACCCCAGAACCCCAAGGATGGGATAGTGACATGAGACACAGGAGTCATACATGAAATGTAGTGATTCTTCAGGAGTCAAGGAGCCGCACACTGGTGGTCATGGAGCGAGTGCCTGCTTGCCATAGGGCTACCGGGCTAGGCTGGGACTGGTGTTCTCAGTTCTCTGACCCGGGAGGATAAGCACTTAAGAAATGTAGGTTGTATGAAGGAAGAAATGTCAGGGTGAAGTAGGCTAGGAGCTGCTTGTTAGGAACCCGAGGATAGGATGGGGAGGGGCAGGTGGAGACACACATAGAAAATGTCAGGTAATGGAAGGGCAAGAGTCAGTCAGGGCAGACTTCCTGGAGGCGGGGGAAGGAAAGTCACCATTCCCCTCCTTGAATCTCCTTCTGCTCCCCAGTCCTGGAGAAGATCCGCAGTGCTGTGGGCAGCACGCAGCTTCTCCTGTCCCAGAAGGTTCAGCAGTTCTTCAGGCTGTGTCAGCAGAGCATGGTGAGTGCCCCTGGGTGCAAAGCCTATCAGACGTGTGTGCCTGCAAGGTGCCCAGTGTGTGTGCCTGGAGGTGAGACCAGGTGTTTGTACCCAAAGGCTTTCTTGCCTCCCTGTCTCCTACTCTCACCACCCCACCCCACTCTCCCAAGTTGAGCTTCCTGACAGTGAGGGTGGGCGGGGCTTTCCGGGGTCCTGGCTGGGGCGCAGACATTCCTGACTGGCTGCCTCTCTTATGTCTCCTTCCTCTGCAGGACCCCACTGCGTTCCCTGTGCCCACCTTCCAGGACCTGGCGGGTTTCTGGGACCTCCTGCAGCTCTCTATCGAGGATGTGACCCTCAAGTTCCTGGAGCTACAGCAACTCAAGGCCAACAGCTGGAAACTCCTGGAGCCTAAGGTGGGGGCAGGTCCCTTGAAGCCAAGAGGCAGACCCTGGAAAATGCCCTTCGCCATGGAGGCATGTTGGGGGTAGGGGTAGGGGGCCAGGAGGAGACCCGGGGGCAGCAAAGGCAGCCCTGGACAGGTACTGGTGACCACCTTCTTCCAAAATGACCGCCCTGGTCACTGCTGCCTGCTTGGCCCTAGTGCTCATCGCTGCCGCAGCTGCCAGAACCCGAGGGGGCAGCAGCCACCCTGGGCCAGCTGCAGTTTGAGGGCGCAGACCTAGAGCTTCCGAAGGGCTTGCTGCCCTCAGCTCGGACCTAGAGGGGCCCCTCAGCCGTCATCTCACTAGACCTTGTCGTGATGGGCCCGGAAGCCTGGTGTGTGAGCGCCCCCTTACCCCCATTGCCTTGCCCGCATCCCTCCGGACCTGCAGTGAAGCAAACACTGATTCGGAACGGCGCCACCCAGGGGCGTTCGAATCAATATTTCTTTAAAAAGAAAAATGTGCGTTTTGACCTTGTGGGAACAGGTACACCCGGGGCTTGGGGTGCAGGCACAGAGAGCAGCGTCTAACGGTTACTAACCGCTCTCACCTGGCCGAGCCCCGGGGACGGGGACGGGGTTCCTCCTCGGAGCGGAGGGGCGTGAATTGGGGAGCCCGGT